AGCGTAGAGGGCCTCAGGAGGTCGACGTCCTGGGGGTGCACATTAAGTAATCGACCATCGTAGAGAATTGTTAACACCTTCTTATATCAAATAACTAAATCTTTATGATTTATGATAGGGATGGGTGTAGGTTGTGTTGTGTTGTGTTGTGTTGGGTTGGGTTGGGTTGGGTTGGTTTTTAAACCAACCCAAAGCAGAATTGATTTATTCAACTTGAATATTTTTTACTCAAACTAACTCAAAATTAGGTGTAAAATATAACCAACCCAAATTGATCAATCTTGGGTTAGTTTAGATTGTGCTCGGGCCACTCTCGCTATGTTAGTGGCCTAAGTTATACAAGACGTAAAAACATGTTAGTGGCCTAAGTTATACTAAATTCATTGCTATTTTCATTCCAATTTCTGTAATGTGAATATGCATTTTTTTGGGCAAAAAGAAAAAGTAGTATAAAACATCTTATTTGGATAATAGAATTTAAAGATAAACTTAATTATTGCCACCCTAAATTTCAATGCTTGGCTTGGATATTACTAAAATCTTCATCGCCAATGAACTTGACTGGCTTACAGTTGCTCACATTTATGATAAAATTGCTTACTAGACAAATCTTCATAGTTTTAGCAAGAAGCTCGATTTGCAGGCCCCCTAGGTTTCCTAACTAGCTTCATCTTTCTTGACTCAACAAGAGATCATTGCAAATTAAAGCATTATTTGCATGCTGTCTTAAATTCAAGATACTGTAACTTTAGAGTCCATATATCACATTATTTCTTTGATCCATTACGATCGATGATTCTCTCTTGGAGCTAGGCTAAAACTCATCCACATCTCATATCTCAATGATCATCTCGCGTTGTCCTTCTAGCTTGCCATATCCCTTTATCTCGAATCCCTCATGATGGTAGGACTCTCTCTCTCTCTCGTGTCTAATTTCTGGTGGGGGAAAGAAGGTAAAGGAGGAAAAATGCACTGGGTTTCTTGTGAAAAATTGTGTTACCCCCAATTCGGTGTCTTGGTTCCAGGGATCTAAAAGCCTATCACATTATTTCTTTGATCTACGACAATCAATGATTCTCAATCTATAGAACATGAGTGTGTTCTATATAATATATACAAATTATTTTTGCTCCTATTAATGCCTTTCAGTAATTAAAGCATCGGGATGGTTGGTCGCACAAGACAACCAACATGAGTGTGTTCTATATAATATACAAGTTAATGTGCAATATTAGACAATAACTGGATTTGGATTTTTTTTTTTTTTGTTTACAGTACCATTTATATTGCCTAGTCTTGTTGAGCATGCCGGTGCTTATTCCTTAGACTCACTTAAAAGTTAGTAAATAAGTGAAACTTTGCATAAAACAAAGTTTAATTTTAGACCTTTAAATTTAAAAGGAAAAATTACATAGACTTCTCTCGAATTTTCTGACAATTTCAAAAACACCAACTCCTTTTAGAAAATTACATGAATCTTTCTTAGTTTAAATTTTGAATAATATATACCTCATTTTATCACTTTTATTTCACATATTAGTAAAAATACTAGTGGTAAAGCCTAAAACACACTCGTGAACTTTCTTCCATCACTTCTATTTCACATGATAGTCCAAGTTATATTACTATGTGACATCACTATCAAGCCTTGAAGTCTCTTGTCAAGCATGATAAGAAAGATTGCACAACATTGAGGGCCCCTTGAGCCTAAAGGGAATGCATTGCTGCTGGGAACAGACTTTGACGAGAAACTGAATAATTGTCACCGTGAATTCCAATTCTCGAGCTTGGATATTACTTAAGTCCTCCTCGCCAACAAGCTTGTATGTATGAGAGGTGTAGTAGCTGCTTCATATGTACGACCAACCTTCAAAATATATGCAAGAAGCTCAATTAGTGAGCCCTTTAAGTTACCTAACTAGCTTCGACGTACTTGACCGATTATGAGATTATTGCAAATTAAGAAATTACTTACATGCAACCATAAATTCGAGATACCATCACTTTAAAATCAATATATCACTATAATAACTAAATCTTTATGACCTATGAAGGGTTAGTTTGGGTTAATTTTCAAACTAACCCGAAGTCGATCTGACGTATTCAAGTTAAATAATGTTCAACCCAAAATCAAACTAAGCAATTCAAGTTGAATACTTTTCAACCCAAACCAACCCAAAATTGGGTGTAAAATTGAACCAACACAAATCGATCAATCTAGGATCAGTTTGTGTTGGACTTGAGCCCAATGAATGTTGTACCATTTAAATTACGTCAAAACTTACAAATTTTTAAAGGTTTTAAATGTATTTGTTAAAAACTTATAATATTTGGACCTTGAAAAATATTTAGACGCCCTTCAAATATAAAAGTGAGGAAAAATCTAACCATAAACATAACTCAATAATGAGAGAAAGGTATTGGTGATTTGTAAAATTTATTCAATTTATAATTATAGTAATTTTTTCATATTTCTTGTTTCGGATTAATTTTCTTTAATAAAATCGCAAACTAACCTAACCTGACTTAATTCTTCCAAGGAACAATCAAATCGAACCATATGAAAAATATTACAAAAATCAACCCAGTTCGACTCGCTTGAGTTTTTCGGTTTCACATGATAGAATCTACCACTACGATGATCAATGTTATACAATATGATTGTGTTCTGACAAATGTGTGTCGATCATGTTCTTGTTAAGTCCTTTGATTAACTTAACATATTTAGTCCTTATTTGATTTTGTTAAAAATCATATTTTTATTAGATTTTATAAAATTTGATAAAATATGGTTAAAATTAATTTAGATTTTTATTAATTTTTTAGACAAACCAAGTAGGGGCTTAATTTACAATACTAGGTAATAGAAAAACATAAGTTGAATAAGATTTTAACTTATTCTTCATAATAGTATTCAATGCCATCGAGCTGTTTATCCATCGTGTTACTTATTTATTGGCTCACTTAAATGTAGATAAGACCAACTTTGAATACAACCAAATTTAGTTTTAGATCTATAAATTTCAAGTTGTAAATATAAATTTTGATGCAATATTACAAGTTTCTATGTTTTTTTTACACGACTAGAAAATAATGTTGTAATAAAGTATCACACTCTTGGTACTATACTCGCGTCACGTTCTATGGATTCGAGTCACTTGATCATATCTAAACACTTTAGACAAAATGACAAATTAATGAGAGAGAACGCCATTTTGCTTACTCATTTGTCACACACAGTCACACCTTTCCTCTTTCAAAAACTACCATTACACGGAAGTCATTGCTATTTTCATTCCAATTTCGGTAATGTGAATATGCATTTTTTGGGCAAAAAGAAAAAATAGCATAAAACATCCCATTTGGATCATAGAATTTGATGATATACTGAATTATTGCCACCCTCAATTTCAATGATTGGCTTGGATATTACTCAAATCTTCATCGCCAACGAACTGGACTGGGTAAGAGTTGCTCACATTTATGATAAATTAGCTTACTAGATAAATCTTCAGAGTTTTAGTAAGAAGCTCAATTTGTAGGCACCCTAGGTTTCTTGGCTAGCTTCATCTTTCTTGACTCAACAAGAGTTCGTTGCAAATTAAAGCATTAAATGCATGCCGCCTTAAATTCTAGATACAGTAACTTTAGAGTCCATATATCACATTTATACCACATTATTTCTTTGATCTACGACGATCAATAATTCTATCTTAGAGCTAGGCTAAAACTCGCCCACATCTTCTGTCTGAAAGATCGTCTCCCGTCGTCCTTCTGGCTTTTCATCTCTTTATCTCGAATCCCTCATGATGGTAGGACTCTCTCTTAGGAGTTAAAATCTCTCATGTCCAATTTCTAGTGGGGGAAGGAGATAAAGGTGGAAAAATGCACTGGGCTTCTTTGGAAAAATAGTGTTACCCCAAATCCGGTGTCTTGGTTTCGGGGACCTAAAAGCCTATCACGTTATTTCTTTAATCTACGACAATCAATGATTTTCTATCTATAGAATATGAGTGTGTTCTATATAATACACGAATTAATGTGCAATATTAGACAGTGTTCTAAAATGCGTAATGCGTTGCGATGCGTCGAGGCCGCGAATCAAGAATCACAAGTTTAGGCGTGTCAATGCGAAGAATAAGCGTCATAATACGTTTCGTATTTTTAAGGCATTAAATATATTTTTATATAAAAAAATAAATTTTTTACAAAAAAAGAAAAAAAATTGGGCGGCATAATGCGCGCATTAGGCNTTATATAAAAAAATAAATTTTTTACAAAAAAAGAAAAAAAATTGGGCGGCATAATGCGCGCATTAGGCGCGCCTAGGCACTCGCATTGCGCCACCTTTTAGATGGAAAATGCATTTTCCCTCTCATTCCCGAATTCAACGTGTTTTGACCATGCGTCGCGCCTAGTTGGTGCATTTTAGAACACTGATATTAGACAATAACTAGATTTTTTTTCTTTTTTTTTCTTCTTTTATTCTCCTTCTTCTTGTTTACATTACCATTTATATTGTCAAGACTTGTCAAGCATGTCAGTGCTTATTCCTTAGACTCGCTTAAAATTTAGTAGATAAGCGAAACTTTGGAATTTGGATGCAACGACGTTTAGTTTTAGAACTTTAAATTTAAAAGGAAAAATTACAGAGACGTCTCACAAGATTTCTGACAATTTCAAAAGCGTCAACTCCATTTAGAAAATTACATAAATCTTACTTAGTTGAAGTTTTGAATAATATATACCTCCTTCTATCACTTTTATTTCACATATTAGTAAAAATACTAGCGGTAAAGACTAAAATACGCTCGTGAACTTTCTTCCATCACTTCTACTTCACATGATAGTCCGAGATATATTTCTATGTAACATCACTATCAAGCCTTAAAGTCTCTTGTCGAGCGCGACAAGGTAGATTACACAACATTTGGGGGCCCTTGAGCCTAAAGGGAGTACATTGGGAACACATTTTGACGAGAAACTGAATAATAGTCACCATGAATATCAATGCTCGAGCTTGGATATACTTAAATCCTCCTCGCCAACGAGCTTGTATGTACGAGAGGTGTAGTAGCTGCTTCACATGTATAACCAACCTTCAAAATATATGCAGGAAGCTCAATTAGTAAACCCTTCAAGTTACCTAACTAGCTTCAACGTACTTGACCGAGTGTGAGATTATTGCAAATTAAGAAATTACTTGCATGTAACATCNATTGGTGATTTGTAAAATTTATTCAGTTTACAATTATAGTAATTTTTTATATTTCTCGGTTTGGATTGATTTTCTTTAATAAAATTGCAAACTTACCTAACCTGACTTAGTTCTTCTAAGGAACAATCAAATCGAACCATATGAAAAATATTACAAAAATCAACCCAACCCAACTCGCTTGAGTTTTTCAATTTCACAAGATAGAGTCCACCACTACGATGATCAATGTTATAAAATATGATTGTGTTCTGACACACGTGTGTCGATTGAGTTCTTGTTAAGTCCTTTGATTAACTTAACATATTTAGTCCTTATTTGATTTTGTTAAATATCATATTTTTATTAGATTTTATAAAATTTGATAAAATATGGTTAAAATTAATTTAGATTTTTATTAATTTTTCTAGACAAACCAAATAGGGGCTTAATTTACAATACTAGGTAATAAAAAAACGTAAGTTGAATAAGATTTTAACTTATTCTTCATAATAGTATTTAATGCCATCGAGCTGCTTATCCCTCGTGTTACTTATTTATTGGCTCACTTAAAAGTATGTAGATAAGACCATCTTTGAATGCAACCAAATTTAGTTTTAGAGCTATAAATTTCAAATTGTAAATATAAATTATGATGCAATAGTTACAAGTTTTTATGCTTTTTTTTTAACCAGACTAAAAAATAATGTTGTAATAAAGATTTGTTGGCCCACTTGGAATCCCATCAGGCCACCACGACTGAAATGATAAACCGAAAAGAAGTCGCCATTGTGCTCACTGCTCACTCATCAGTCTTGTTGCACATGATTCTTCGATATTTCCATTCCAGTTTTCGAATATAAACACATTCAAGTGCATACATAGTGAAAATTACCTTTACTTGAAATCAGCGATTTTGATTTCTCGGTAAGTCAATCCTTGCTATTTTTTTATCTTTTTCTTTTTTGAAATTTTATGCAGTTGATTTGTTATTTCCTGATTTTTTTATGAAATTCCATGCTCTCTTGTGCAGTTTTCATGGGGATCAACCTGTGAAATTCCCTTTCAAGTTTACACCCAGATCAGTTCTTATCAGGTAGTGTGTGCGTGCGTGTGTGTTTATTTCGACTATAGCAGTATGAATTTATGCCGGGCTGGAACTTTTTCCATCAAAATTGTTTGGTGGCTTATTAGTTGTTAATACTTGGAAATGTTTATATGAAGTCGGTTGATTCTAGGAATTCATTCCTTCGAATTGGGTTAAGGCTTATTGGTGTTCAATTCATGGAAATTTGGTTAATGACTCGATTCTTGTCAACTCGTGGAATTAATTATGCAATCAGTGTAATGTTTGTACTTTAAGGCTGCTCGAAGTGCACTGGCCTGTTAATTAAATTTCCAGACAAAAAACAGATTTTTGCCACTTCGAAAGGAATGAATAATATTGCATATGTTATTTCCTCGTTTGAAATATTTTTTCAAAGTTAAGTTTTACCACTGTTGAATTCAAGTCCCGGTTTTGCCACTAATCTCATGTTTGTATTATACGTTTCTTTACTTTTTGAGTCTTAGAGCCTGTTTGGTACAGATATTCATTTTCTACAGTAAATCAATTCTCATTTTCAACCTCACATTCTTTGATAAAATAATATTTTCCATCACATCAATACTTTTTTCTTCTTTTTCAACCACACATTCCCCATCTTATCACTGTTCAAAAATCAATTCTTCCCCCAAAAATCTCTACCAAACACACTCTTAGTTTGCATATATTATTGCTTGGACCTACTATATAGATGTCGGAATATCCGTCCGTGTATGTCTCCCACACTGCTCGCATGTTGTGTATTTGTATGGTAGTTGTCTTTTTGAGCCCTGATTTGTCTTTAATATGTTTATCGATTTCAATTTGACATTTGCTAATTTTTGCATCTACTATATAAATGTCCGAATATGGGTCCTAGCACAATCGAATGAGAATAATTTTCAATTTTGAGCTTAATTCTACTTTTTGCTGTAGCTGTCCATAATTTTTCTTTACTATTGGCTTGATGAAATTTTGTTAATTGATTACAGATAACGGTGTCATGTCGAACATTGAATTATCCCGTGATAACCGTAATAACCTGTCATTGGGAATTCGTTCTGCGCCTGAGTTCAAGCCCAGGAAAGTCTCTTCAGTTCGGGATTTCCCACCTGGGTGTGGCCCCAATGCTAAGCCGGTGGATTTGAAGTTCGACAGTGTTAAGCTGGGAACATCCTATGGGCATAAGGATGAATTCCTTCATAGAAGAGTGTCTGCTGCTTGTGATTTTCCTCCATTATGCGGTCCAAATGCTCCTCAACCTACCCAAGAAGAACAACAGATGATTAGTCATGGAAAAGATTGTGTGGATGACAGTAAAAAAATTGAAGTGGAAACAGATGCAACTCAGACACCAAGGAAAAATCTGGAAAGAGGGGCATTGATGGAGACGCAGATCATATCTCAAACCGAATCTGTGGATGGAGTTGAAAAGGTTGAAGTCAGAACAGCAGCTGTCGAAACAATTAGAGGAACAATTGGAGAAGATGTCATGAAGCTGCCTTTATCGTGGCGACACAAAGCTGTTGCCAAAAGAAGTAAAATTGTGAGAGATATTTCAGGGGTGGCATCCATGAAGAAGAAAACAATTCCGGGTGCATTGACCCTCAGGGATCAAACAAGTTATGGTGCCCATGATGAAAATCTACCCTCAAATTCTCGTTCCAGCAACGCACCATATGGTTTTGATGTTAGCATCCCTCCCAAACATTCCAGTCATGATGATGCCTGTAATAGAGTGATAGAGACTCTTCGATTGTTTCGTTCTATTTCCAGAAAACTCTCGCAAAATGAAGCAAAGTCCGAGAATCAACCCAAGAGGATTGATCTTCACGCAGCAAAGATTATCAAAGAAGGAAAAATGGAAGTTAACACAGGCAAGCAAATTTTGGGAGAAGTGCCAGGAATTGAAGTGGGGGATGAGTTTCAATACAGAGTTGAGCTTGCCATTATTGGCATTCACCGCCTATACCAGACCGGCATAGATTCAATGAAGCACAATGGAATATCAGTCGCAAATAGTATTGTCGATGCTGGTGTTTATGCTGGTGATAAGCATAATGCTGACACCTTGTTATACTCTGGAAATGGGGGAAACATTGTTGGGAAAAATAAGCAGCCGAAAGATCAGAAGCTCGAGAAAGGAAATTTGGCTTTAAAGAATAGTATATCAACAAAGACTCCTGTTCGTGTTGTCCGAGGATTGAAAGAAAAAAACCCTTCAGGTAAGCTAGTCACAACCTATGTTTATGACGGCTTATATACTGTGGACAGGTATTGGCAAGAAACTGGACCTCACGGGAAGCTAGTTTTCATGTTTGAGTTGAGTCGAATTCCCGGTCAACCTAAGCTTAGAAAGAAATCAAAGATATAAGGGGGTTAAATCAATATTTTCGGGGTGTATGTATAAACTAGTAGGAATATCTTTTCTTTTTCAAATATAGAACTTATTGTAAAAAGAGATTGAGAAGTAGAAGTACACTTGGTAATCATCGTTGTCTTGGTGGAGGAGTGCCTTCCTTTTTACTTGATGGGTGTGAAGCATACAAGTCCTTTCATGGCCAATTAGTGTCACTTTGGTGTATCAGCTTAAGATTGATGTACCAAACATTTTATGTGGTATGACGAGACGTATTTTGTGGTTGTATCAGGCCAATCCAATTTTGGCATGTCCGGTGTGACGTGTTAAAAAATAATTTGGCTTGAGTCTGTGTAGCTTTATTGAGATTCGAAGCCAATTGTGCAAAGGCTTCTAATTTTGACACTACTTCTTTCTTGGGGCTTACGGAAATATAATTTCATCTATTAAACTTTTAAGGGCAAAATAGGCTCAAACTAAATGAGATTCAATCCCAACAAAACACTTAACTTACTCGTTATCAAATTTAATACAAACACCAAGGTTTAAAATTTATATTTCACTACATTATTTTCTGGATTTCTCTCATCTTTGGGCAAAATTGTCTGAAAAATTTGAGATGCAATCGAAATTCAACATAGGCAGAGTTTTATCCAACAACATGTGCCAAAAAGGAGGACAAGTGTGTTCAGGTACATTGCCTTTTTTTGTTCCATTTTTTGCCTTTTAACCATAAATGATTCCATCGAACTCCTATATTTCTTTAACCATTGATTTATTGTTCCTATTTGGGAGAGAATGAAAATTTAATGAATATTTGATGGTTGTAGAGTGAGCAACGGAGTTCACTGAAAACGGTGTCAATGTTCTTGATGTTGAAGTTTTCTCATGTCTTTTTCAGTTTCAATAGGGATAGTAAGGAGACACGACGTCCACCTTCACCTATGTCCTAATCAAAATTTCCAAGATGTGTGATAGGATTAAAATATTCTCATTCAAGGTTCTTTTAATTATTTGTTTATTTATTTTTATCAAAGACGGGAAATTCGGTGCTGGGCCATGTCCAAAATTTCCATCTCTGGCTTGTCACGGCCCAATTTCACATTCTATTTATTTATTTATAAACTCTCATTTGAGAGTCCCATTATTGGTGTAAAATGTATTGTTGAATAGTAGATTGATAGAGAATAAGTGGTTAAAAATGAAGAAATTTTTTTGGATTGCATGTACTATTATTTTATTGAAAAATATGTTGTTGAAAAGAAGAGAGAAAAATAAATTAAAAAAAAATGAGAATCAAAAAAAGGCTTAGGCTCACTGAAAAGTCAATAGATAAGTAGAACACTGTGTTATTAGCACAAAACATCCTTATGTATGTAGTACATTGTGCAAAACGTTCCAACATTGCATTTTTTTAAATTTTCACTCATATTTCAACATTTTATTACAAAAATATCAATTTCATCCAATTTTTCAATAAAAATATGTTAAATAACGAATATATCCTCCTATTTAAATTATTTAAAAAAGAGCGAGAGGGAGAGAGAAAAAAAAAAATAAAGAAAAATAAAGAACTAATTGCAACTACACTCCCAAATTATTTTAAAAAATACAAACGAGTCTTGAATAAATTTTTAAAAAATTAAAAATTAATAAAAATGCTCTTTTCTTTCTCCTCCTTCCCCCACCTCCCCAAAAAAATTAAACAAACCATCTCTTGGCAACAAACAATCGGATTTCGAATGCTTGTAAAAAATCGAATCTTGTACTAGAAATGTTCTTGTTTTTCATCCCGATGAGTCGTAGAATTGCTGCTGGTGTCTTCACCTTCTGCTTCTATAACCTTGGACTCCAAATCTTCACTATGTTTCTTGTTATCTCCATTGACTGCCAGAGTTTTCTCTGAACTCAGAATAAGCCACTACAGGATCTAATTCAGTCTGATCACCATCAAGAATATGTGAAGGAAAACTCTTCCTCTTGGATTTCAGCTTCTTGATAGAGAATTCTCTAACATGAGCGCTGCTCACGTGACCTCCCAATGCCATATTCTCCTCCTTCGTACTTTCTTTCATGTTTGGGAACTTGAATTCCACCCGAAATACGGTGTCGGCCGAACCTCCCCCGACGGCGCCACCGTTTCAGCTCCGTCTAAATCTTGGTCATCTTCCATCGTTGAAGTCGGCTGATTTTCTTGATCGTTCTCCATTCTCAAGAAAGAAAGAATAGAAAAGATTAACAAATTTAGTCCTTCAAATAAATTTGGAAATAGATTTTGTACAGAGTGGATTAATTCTACTAACACAAACAAACCCTATGGAAAGAATACAAAACGGCAGTGAAAAAATACGAGAATTATTTACTGAAAGTGGTTCCAAAATTAAAAGATGTCTTAGTTTACAAGTAAATTGAACAAAAAGGAAACATCGTGTCAACATGGAAGGAAAAATTCTCATACAGGCTAAAAAAAATTTAGATTTTGATAAACCATAAAGAAGATAGACCCATATCTTGTATGTAAAATCTTCTTTATCTCTATATAATTAGTGTATGTATTATTTTGGGTTTAAGTGTTGAAATGAAAATTTTGGTGCCAAAGAAGTTATAGTAAAGGGTTTGTTGATGATAAAGCCATTAGAGATTCTGCAATTCAATTTTAGACTTCCTTATACTTGATTTTTTCTATCATGAAAATTATAGGAATTGGGGCAGGTTGGGAAATAAATGTAAAATTTGTTAGTTGCGTGTTGTTGTGGGATGAATTTATGTGGGAGATGGAAATTTGTTTAATTGTTATTGTACGTCGTGGGGGAGGTGGATGAGAAAGAAAAGATTAATTTTTTTTTTTTTTTTAGTTTCTATTTTTTTAATAATTTATTTGGGATTTGTTTGTATTTTTTTTTTTAAATGGGAGTATGGTTGCAATTAATTCTTCTTTTTCTTTTCTTTTTGTTTTATTTAAATATGAGGGTATATTCGTCATTTCATAATTTTTTTATTAAAAAATTGGATGAAAATGATGATTTTCATAAAGAAATGTTGAAATATGAGTGAAAATGCAAAAAAAAATGTAACGTTAGTACGTTTTGAAAAATGAACTCCATATGTAGGGACGTTTTGTGTTAATAACCCTAGAACTTTGGATGCAACAAAGTTTAGTTTTAGAACTATAAGACCTTATTTGACAATCATACTTTTCAACTATTTTTTTTATATTCTCATTTTCAATCATACATTTACATGATAAAATATTCTACACGTAAACTTAAAACTATTCTCTACTTTTTAACCATACATTCTACTAAAAATCACTATTCAAAACTCTTTTTTTCCAAAGCATGGTTGTCAAATAGGGCTAAATTTCAAACTAAAAAGAAAAATTACAAACTTCCCATGAGTTTTGTGACAATTTCAAAAATACCAACTATTTTTTAGAAAATGACATAAACCTCTCTTAGTTTTAAGTTTTAAATCATAGTTATAAAATTCGGCCCGGGAAAATCGACGACTCGTGCCATTGACTTGGCCAGGTTGAACAATTTGATAGAAATGCAAATCACTCGATCAAAATTTTTAGTTTGATAGAGTTGACCCGCTGGTTGAACGAGTTAATTGACAGTTTTGATATCAAACCGGCCCGANAATCTAAAAATATATAAATAATTAATAACAAATAATTCAAAAACTTTTATTTTATTTCAAAGAAAATTTTATACTTTAAGAAACCTTTTAGAATTTTTAAGTATTGACCTACCGGTCCAATCACTAACCTACCAGTTCGACCAGTAATCCATGACCCAATACCTCGATCGGGTCGATGTCCTGATTGGGTCTGGGTCTAATAACTATGTTTTAAATAACACATGCCCCTTTTTATAACTTTTATTTCACATGCTAGTATAAATACTAGTAGTAACGCTTGAAATACCCAAACGAACTTTCTTCACTTTTATTTCACATGATAGCCTGAGATATATTACTAAGTGACTATGACCCGTGTTTTGGTGTATGGGACAAAATGATACATGAAAACGACTTCAAGCCTTGAAGTCTCCAGCCGACCACAAGAAGGCACATTTTACAATATTGAAGGGCCATTGAGCCTTGAGGGAGTACATTGTAGCTGGGAACATATTTTGACGAGGAACTAAATAATTGTCACCCTTAATTGCAAGTTAAGCCATTACTTACACCCAACCTTAAATTCGAGATACCATAATTTTTACATCAATATATCATAATAATAACTAAATCTTTATGATCTACAATTAATGGTGGGCTTGGGTTGGATAGGTTTTCAATCTAACCTAAAATTCGAACTGAACCATTGAAGATGAACAATTTTCAACCCAAAGCTAAACTGAACAATTCAAGTTGAATATTTTTTTCAATCCAAACCAATCCAAAATTTGGTGTACAACTAAACCAACCTAAATCAATCAATCTTGAATCAGACTGGATTGGGGTTAGGTAAGACTTACAATTTTCTACTTCGGTGACCTAAGTTAGACAGGTCACATAAGATATATTCACATGAGTTCAGCTATATATACTAGTCTCACACTCTTCATACTAGACTCGCGTCACGTTCAAAAGATTCGAGTCATTTGACCATATCTCAAACACTTAAGACAAAATGATTAGTCGGTGAGAAAGGACAACATTTTGCTTACTCATTCGTGTCACGCAATCATACCTTTTCTATCTCAAATACTAGTGTTACGCAATTTATTGCTCTTTCCATTCCATTTATACACATAAATTTGAACCATGATTTTCACATTTAGAATAAAGTGAATATGCATTGTAGACCAAAAAGAAAAGGTGGTATCAAATACCCAATTTAGATCATAGATTTTGATGATAAACTGAATTATTGTCACTCTCAATTTCAAATGCTTGGGCTTGGAAATTACTCAAATCATCCTCTCCAATGAGCTCGAGAGGCTTAGGAGTTGTCTAAAATCAATGACAACATAGCTTACTAGATCAAGCTTTAAATTTCAGCAAGAAGC